CAGGCTGAGGTTTTCGCTTGCTGTAGTGAGCCCGCAGCCAGATTGTTATCCAGTCTTGATTAAATTTTGAATTCAATAACTCACCGAGTCTAGGACATAGGCTCACGCCTCGTTGGTGTGTGCAGTCCCCCGCCCCAACAGCTATCAGGCCGTCCCCAATCGAACAATCTGTCGTAGATGAGCAGAGGGCAAGTTTTCGGTGGAAATAAATATATGAAGTATATGGAAGAAAGAGGAAGACTCACCATCCGGCCAGAGTTTCACATCACCAGTGCAGACCATGCTGCTGGGTCGTTGAGAGTAAGCTGCAGAGGCGAGGGCTCGCACTTGTGGATTAGGGTGGGGGTTGCGATTCTGCAGGGTGCCCTGTAGGTGAGAGAAGGAAGGACGTAGAAGGGATAAACTCACACTTAAACGCAATAAGGCCGCAATCCGCACGTGAGAGGAAACAGACTCTAACTTGCAAGCCTTTAACAAACAGACAGCAGATCTTGGGAACATAGTGGATGAGTAAAATAGAGGTAAGGACGATTGATATGACCGCCTAGACAGGACAGAGGAATAGGAACGTCCCACCTACTCAAAAAGGTGACCTCCCGTTACAACAATCGGGTGTAACGGAAGCCCAGACCGAGATATCCCCGCCCAATAACGCCTTGTGTGAGTCCCCAAGGGAAGAACACGACAAGAAGTGTGCAACAGCAGAAGTCTTTGAGTGTAATAGGTACAACGTATTTAGGACAACAAACTGTGTAACACGATGTCCATCGAGCCAATCAGCTCTTCTCTTGACGTAGTCGCCGGTAGGATTGGCTGGTGACTCAACGGCTGACTGTAGTTTGAATTTAAAGTTATCGATTGACTGCACGATGCGTTCGTTCGCGTGTAGGCCGATCGATAGCCTACTGTGGGCGCGGCTACTTGCTTGCAAGTTAACTGCTTGCTAAGGCTGTCCGTTAGGCCGTCCTAACACTGATAACATTTCAGGGAGGGCAAATATTGCTGAACTGTAACCCTAACATAACATTATTAACTTACATCTCTCGTGCAAACCTGACTGCCATGCTTCTGCAGTACTTCGAAAGCCCCGCTCCACGCAACAAATTCTTACGCTAGTGTCATATTTGACCTTCGTTTCGTCAGTAAAAAATTCACAGAAACTCCTAAGTCTCTGCAGAAATAGCTCCACACAGACAGCAGTTTCAAAGAAAGCGAGAGAAGCCTACCTCTGCAGGATGCGAGGGCGAGGACTTGTCTGAGCCCGGCTGATTGGAGGACTCGAGGATTGAGGCGAAACTGTTCAGAGTCTCCTGTGTGAATTCGTC